GGTATGCCACTGTACCAACTTTAGTTGTGATCTTGAAAGGCTTAAAATATTTGAAAGCCAACTTATGGTTTGCTCGCGGTGCAATGGATGACTGAATATAAGGCTGCATTTTCAGGAAAACTGATTCCCCCACTTCAAAAGACCTCTCTGTCCTGTGCTTGTCAGCCTAAGCCTTCATTCGTTGTTGTGCTCTAAGAGAATGCTGCTTGACCGATTCTATGACAACATGCCGCTCATTCAACCATTGTTGGACATCAGAGTTTCCAATGGCATCCACTGGCGAAATACCAAAGTAACGAGGAGGATGCCCGTAAACCAACTCGAAGGGAGTATGGCCTGTCGATGAATGCCAGTTTGTGTTATACCAGAGTTCACATAGCAGTAGCCAACTGGACCAATGATTAGGATGTGCACTGATAAAACAACGAAGATATCCTTCCACCTGCTGATTGACACGCTCGGTTTGTCCGTCAGTCTGCGGGTGTTGACCTGAGCTCATGCGAAGTTTAATGCCAGTTCTGCTACACACTTCCTTCCAGAATATGCTGGTAAAAATGGGATCCCTGTCTGAAACCAATGAGACAAGGAGGCCATGAAGGCGATACACACGATCTAAGAAGGAATCCGCGACCGATGCAGTCGTGTATGGATGTTTGAGGGCGATGAAATGACCATATTTGGTCAATTTGTCAATGGCCACCAATATGAAGTTATATTGTCGTGAAACTGGCAAACCTTCAATAAAGTCCATTGTCATCATTTCCCATGGTTGCGAAGGCACTGACAAAGGTTGTAATAGACCAGGGTAAGGAACACGATCAGGTTTCGCGAGTTGACAAACTTGACACTGTTGCAGTACCAGCTTGATCATTTTCTTCATATTTTTCCACTGGAATAGCTATGATATTCTGTGATAAGTTACTGGGAAGCCAGAATGTCCACCAGCTGAACTGGCATGCAAACTGTTGATGATTTTGTGCTGCAGACTTTCATCAGAACCAATCCAAATGCGCTTCTTGAAACAAAGCAGACCCCCATGCAAGGTGAACTTAGGATCTGATGTTGGATCAACAGCTAGTTTTTGCAAAATGGTTGTTGCACTAGGATCATTGTAGTAACTGTTCATGATCTCTTGCAGCCATGCTGGTTGTACTTCCAAAATTATATAGCAGTCTCCAGGTTCATGTGGACGTCTGGATAAGGCGTCTACAACTCTGTTATCTGCCCCTTTCCTGTAAACAATCTTATAATCCAAACCCCATAGCTTAGTGAGGGCTTTTTGTTGCCAGGCAGTGTGCAAGCGTTGTTCTGTTAAACTAACCAGGGCTTTTTGATCAGTGATAATGTTAAATTCCTTCAGCTACAGATAAGATCGCCACTGCTCCACTGCTAAAATAATTGCCAAAACTCTTTTTCATATACTGACAGTGTCTGGTTTTTTGGTCCCAAGGCCTTGCTGACAAAAGCCAAGGGATGCCCATCATGTGTTAGTACAGCCCCAATCCCACAATCACTAGCATCTGTTTCAATAGTGAAAGTTTTTTGAAAATTTGGAAGAGCCAAAACAGGAGCAGTAACCAGAGCCTTTTTGAGAGTCTGAAAGGTTGTTTCCTCTATGCTAGTCCAAACAAACACATTGCCTTTGCGTAGAAGATTAGTCATGGGTTTAGCAATAACTCCAAAGTGACGAATGAATTTCTTGTAGTACCCAGCCAACCCAAGAAAACTTCTCACCTCCTTCACTGACATTGGTGTGGGCCATTGTTCAATAGTACTAACCTTCTCAAGGTTAGTAGAAACACCATCCTTGCTGATAATATGACCTAGATACAATAACTTTTGAGAGGCAAACTCACATTTGGAAATTTTGACATACCACTTGTCCTTTCTGAGTACTTCCAAGACCTTCCTGACATGTTCCAAGTGTTGCTTCAGTGTTTTACTGAAAATCAGAATATCATCGAAGAAGGCCAATACAAAAGTTCTCAGCATTTCAGGTTCTTGTGACAGAGAAACATTGATGGCTCCTTGGAAGGTGTTATGTGCCCCTGTTAAGCCAAAACCAACCACCAGAAACTCAAAATGACCATGATGTGTCTCGAAGGCTGTCTTGTATTCCTCTCCAGGTGCCAATCTAATTTGATGATAACCAGCCCTGAGATCCAGCTTTGTAAACCATTGAGCACCATATAATTCATCCAAGAGCTCATCTATTACAGGCATAGGATAATTTCCCTTGACTGTAAGTGCATTTAAATGTCTGTAGTCCACTACAATCCTCCAAGTATGATCTTTCTTTTTGACCAATAAGATAGGTGAAGAAAAGGGACTGTTACTCCTTCTAATAACACCAGAGTCCAACATTTCCTGAATTTGCTTCTCTACCTCATCCTTCAACTCGGGGGCCAGTCTGTAAGGCCTGTGAGAAAATGGTCTAGCACCAGGTATAAGAGGAATGGCATGATCACAAGCTCTTTCAGGAGGCAAACCAACAGGAACAGCAAAGACATCCTTATATTCCTCAATGAGTTCCTGAATTTCTGGTAGTATAGCAGGAGCATTCTCATCAGTTACTACAGAAAGTTATATGATGGTGTAAGCAAACTCAACAGGTGCTGCTCCTTGAATTGTTACTGATTGTCCATGCAATGGAAAAGACATCCATTGCTGCTCCCAGTCTACAGTCATTGGACTATGCTTGGCCAACCAGTCCATACCCAGAATTCCATCATAACAGCTGAGAGATAAAACTCTAAGGTCATGCTCAAACTGGACTCCTTGTACTGACCACTAGCAGTTTGGTACATAGCTGTCACAACTCATAATCCCTCCATTAGCAACTTTAACTTTCATTGTTGTACATTTGTGTACTCCTGTCAGTGTGCTTGCTGAGTTTGTATCCACAAAGGAATGGGTACTGCCCGAATCCACTAAAAATGTTCTCTGTTATCCTTGAATAATAACACTTAATTGGAAGGCCTTGCTGTGAGCTGATTTTCCTTCAGCCGCTTCTGATAGAGCCATAAGATTCACTTCTTCATCCTCATCAGTAAGCAATTCTTCTGTTGTCGTGCACTGAAAAAATTCAACCATCTCTTGCACTACATGTAGTGATACAGTTTGCTTGCATTGGTGATCCCTGCTCCATTTCTCTCCACACATAAAACACAAGCCCTTGGCCTTGCGGTACGATCTCAGTGCTTCCCATTTATCCTCTCCCAGCTTTTGTCTTTGTACATCAGTATTGGTTCGTCTATCTTCAACAGATTTGGTGTTAGCTGGCTTAGCTGAAGATGCTACCTGTATATACTGTTGCCACTTGACAGGATGACCTTGCTGAGAAGCAGAATTTGTCAGAGACTCATGCAGTAACGCCAGTTCATATGCTGCATCGAGATCTGATGGTTGCTGCAATGCCACCAGTACTCTAACAGATGGATTCAATCCATCGATGAATTTAGTAACATAGTGCACAGATTCTGGCACGGCCTCGTACGCTGATAATTGGTCATATAGCTCGACAAACTGCTCCACATAATCCTCTACCGAGCCTGTCTGAACTATGCTGTGGAATTTCCTAACCAGAGCCTGATGCTGATTTCGACCGAAACGACAGTGCAGCAGCCTGCAAAATTCTTCCCAGGGTGCATTCGGTGCTCTTCTCTGAACCGATTCCAACCATCGCGCTGCTGCCCCTTCAAACAGAGTAGGTGAAAATTGAACCCAGAGGTGCTTAGGTGTGCCGCTCATGCTGAAATAATCCTCACACCTTGATTGCCAAAGCCTCGGATTGGTGCCGTCAAAACGGGGCAAGTCGATGCGTGGTGCAAATCCATAATTGTCAGAATTCTCTCTGTGTAACTCAGCCAATCGCGAACTGAACATGGAGCCATGGTCGGATCTCGTACCTCTGGCCGGCGGAGGGACATACGGAGCGTGATCCTTTCCCTTGGCCGTCGGGGCAGATCTGCTACCTTCAGGGCCTGCGTCACCGTTGGAGGCCGGGATTTGACTTGTCGGTGGCCGGCCTCGTGCGTGTGAGTTGTCGTCGGAGAGCGACCGTTCCAACCCAGCGCGGAGTTCATCCATGTCGACTCCAATCGACAGCTTGAGGTCGTCGATGCGCGTCGTCAGATCACCCACGATGGACCGCATCGACTTGGCCGCCTCTTCCTCTTGGCGCTTGAAACGAACGTCGAGGGACTCCGCCAGGTCGGCCTTGAGGAACTCGTACACCGCCTTCGTCGCCGACGACATACTCTCCATGGCTTCACGGCGGCGGCGCGCCGCGAATCTCGTCGCGTGGGGATGATGGAGCGGAGCTTGCTGCGCCAGGATCGAAGCTCTGATGCCAATTGTAAGCAACGAATCACTCCAATCGATCTATCTATTAGTCTTATGCTCAATCTCCAGATTGCAAGGAATTCGAATTTGGGAAGGAGGAGGAGGAAGGAAGAACAGAGCTAGCCAATGCCTCACGCCATCTATCCTATCCAGTTCCTCAACCGCAGCCGCCACCACCACCCATTACAGTCTTCTAGTACAACTAAGTAGTGTTGGCTAGCGGGCCCATTCTGGGCCGCGTAGACGAGCCGGAGCCTGGATACCTCTCTTGGGCCTGGCCTGCTCTCTTCTTGCCGGTTCGCCCTGTAGCTCATTAGCTGTTGTCGCTGTTTCAACCGTAGGACTGCTGACATGGTCTCACTGGATTGGTGCGGGGGGAATATTGATGCTGGAAGGCCGACGGGCCGAGGGAGGGCCTTCATCGCTCGCTCCCCCGCTATAGCAGTGACCGGCGCCGCCTCCTAACGTCGTCCCATCGAGCGCCGCCGCACTGGTTTCCTCGCCGTCCCGTGCCACTGCTGCTCTCCTATCCGCCTTTACCGTACGCTGCCGGCCCTGCTACCGCTGCTCTAGGATTCCTTGGCGGGCGCTACGGCCCGTCTTCTGGAAGCGGATTGGAGGCAGCGAGCGGGCGGGGAAAGCGGTGGCTAGAGCAAATGCTCAAGTTCCTGTCCAGGGTGGTGGTGGAGTACCGCCCTCTGGACCCGCGCAAGGCAGCGGCCGTGGAGCTCCTCGTGCAGTGCAACGGCCGCAAGGCCAAGGACTCCAACCCCACCTGCTCCGTCGAGTTGCGGCGCCTGCCCTCCCCGGCCGCGGCCGAGGACCCCAAGGCCCAGCCGCCCTCGCGCGTCCTCGTCACCTACCTCAACGGCTCCGAGAAGGCCTTCGTCGCCGCCGACGGCGCCACTGCGCAGGGCATGCGCGACCAGATCCTCGCCCGCGGCCGCCTCCTCGAGACCGAGCAGCTCTTCCGCGAGGCCGGGGAGAAGTGGCCCGTCATCATCCCCGAGGAGGAGCTCGGCATGTCATTCCCCGGTATCAAGGTGCCTCTTCTACTCTGTTTCGGTTAACTTCACTTTCTGTCGAACACATTGCGTGCGTGCTTTGGCGTATCTCACTGCCTTGGGCTGAAATCTCTCGTCCAAACATTTGGAATGCTAATAGTCTCGTTCTGTACGTTGTCGCTCATTCAGCTTGTATATGTGATCATGGGACGTTTTTGACAATGCATAACATCTTATGAGCATCGAGTGTTATGTTATTATCCACATGTAGAATGAAATAAGTAGGATTATTACCAATTTTATATTTATTTTTGGTAGATCAATAAGGATGTAGCATTGCCTGTGTTGTGCTTTGCCTGTAGCCTTGTACCATGTTTCATATGTATCACCTGAGGCATATTTGTCTATGTGTGCTTGATGCTTATTTCGGTTGTATTGCTGCTGTCGGGTTTGATCTAGCCACTTTTATCTCCCTTCTTTTCGTCAAACATTACTAACATTGTGTATGCTTTTTTCTCTCCCAACATTTTGTATGTTGGGTGATTATATAATTCATTTCATTGAGTACTGTGTATGCATACTTATTTTTCTGACCATGAATTACTTCACGATAGATTATGTGCATGTGTACTGGGCGAAACTGTTGGAAATAACATTAAAATGCATGATCCTTTCTAGCTGCTGCATAAAGTTCAAGTTCTTGTATACTGTGCCTCAAGGTGTGTTGTGTCTATTTTTATAATAAAACATCAAGGTGTACTATTTGTGTGCAACTTGATAAATATTATTTGGCTTTTGAATTAGGATCACCACTGCTTTTGGCATTTATAATCCAGTTCAATAAGGGGAACTATGATCACTACTGCAAGCCCATAAGCTGGCGCTATGGATTTAGCTTGGCTCATGAACATACTCTTTTGTAGTCATTCAGAACATTGGAAGTGAAAAAATTGGTTTTGATTTTTAAAGTCAATAAGATGGCATGTTGACCATTAATTTTGATTGCATATAGTTAGATCTCTTTATCATCATTGATATGGTTTGGCTGCATGCATTTTAGGTATCATCCTTTCTTTCTGAGCTGGCGGTAGTATAAGTTATTTATTTTGTTCTTAATTTCAAAAGATGTCTACTAATCTTAGCAGTACCTTTACTCTTGGGTGTTATAGGGTAGTCAAGCGAACACTGGTGCACCATTTGACTCTTTTTTTCCTGTTTTATTCACCTACTTGTTGGTTGGTTTAATATATTGTTTATGTGAGCTCTCTCATCATTTAATTTCTACTCCATAGATCATTGTTCCATGATTTGTCTGGAGTTTCTGATGTTTCACTACTACAGAGACATGTTGTTAGGTCCTTCTAGGAAAGAAATGCTTAGCGTACTATCCCTAGCCCTTAACATTTTTTGTCTAAGAAAATACTGCATTGGCTGATACCTTTGTAATAAGACGATAAACATGTTCTTTTTCATTAACACAGTAGTAGTCATCCTGCCTGTTCTGTTGAAAAAATAAATTGTACAAGCATATTGAGTGGCCCTTTTAAATGCCTACTCGGTCAATCACTTACATAGGATTCTTACCTTTTTAGGAACACCTTTATTTATTTAGATATTAATAAAGAGTGCTTTGTGTTCCTAAATGCAGATAAATTTTAATTTCTAAAGAATTTCCAATCTGCATAAGCAGACCCTGAACATAGTTTGAATTTTAAATTTACTATAATCAAGCATGGTTTCATTGCTATAACTTAATAGCATTTTTATTGAAGTTATGTTATTTTACTATGATGATGTTGGGTTCCATCTAGGTAGAAAATACACCGATGGCAATATCAGTGGATTTCTCGTGGACCAGGGAGAAAAAGGGTAGCATGATCTTGCCAGCATGCTCACTTCGGGAGACAGATGCAAGTGAGGAAGATATGAGGGCTGCACGTCCTGTTTTTCTATTTCCTCCCAACTTTAGTCACACATGTGTTTTTTCTAAGGAGTTCACTACACCATGAGGATGGCGCGGATTATAGTCTTCACTTTTTGCTGGCGAATGTACTTTGATTACTGATTACCAAATATTGGTTCAAGATGTACCATTTCCAGCCTCGCTTTTCTATGCACAAATAGTATGAGTATTAGGTATTTTTTCATAATTTCTGATTTGATGTCGCTACGTTGATTCCTTGCAGTGAGTTATGTTCAAAGATACGCTCCCATTCAATCAGGATTGAAGTTGACATAGTAATTCTTCAGATATGTGCAGCTTACTTGTAAGCCAAAATTTGATTGTCAGATGATGGTAATATTACTTTCTGCGATGTTGGATATATAGCAACGATGCATCAGGAATAGCAAGCTTTGTATTTTAGGAACTGCCTTCTAGAAAAAGAAAATGTCCGCATAGTTTTGTACTTTAGGTCGTATGGTCTGCTTGCATTTATGTTAGAACCATCCCATTCCTCCTGTAACATTGCTCTTGATAGGTATTGCTTATCCCATTGCAATAACTAAATTTTATCTTTAAATACATTTTTTCTGATCAAATGGCATCTCTGCTATTTGCACAGATCCTGGAAAGAAGTAGTTTTTACTGCTGCTTCAGGCTATGCTTGATTGTGGGCCTTTTTGTGCAATCTGGATAATTTTTAGCAGGTCTCAATTTAATATGATGGTAAGAACTTTTAAAATTGCAACAGTGATGACAAATATATTTTACTTGAGGTTTGAGAAACTGAATTTGATAGCTCTCTCAGGTGAGCCTACCATTCCATCACATGCAAAC